ATAACCAATATGATATCCTATTAAATTCTTTAAACAAATTACATGACTATTTATCTTAATTTCAACTGTTATATACCTGATGATGACGTAGAACTATTAATCTTTGTTTGCACTTGAAATCTTCCTTTCTTAGTGCTCGTAGATTTCTCAGTGCTCGTAGGCTTCTCGGTAGTAGTTGTATCCGCATATCCACCATCTTCCTTGTTCAATGTGGAATCATTCACATCTAAAGAATGTGTAGTTGTTTGCTGGACTTCAAATCGACTCTTTTTATCTAAAAATATTAGAAATGGATAAAATGATTAGAGTTCATATAAGGCTTTCATAACAGTAAAATGACTACCAGTACAATGCAGGTACCATCATATTAAGTGTCACCTGTGAGATTTTCGTTGGATTGCACTTTTTCTAAAGAATGACGTTGACTTTCGTGTTCGGGTTGTGAACCGCCTGAAGCAGTCCTTTCTGTTACACTGAATCTTCCTTTTTTAACTGCTTGTTCTTCATTAGTCAAATGTTGTTGAAGTCCGCTCGAAGACGAAGGATAAAATGAAAATTGAGTAACAGATGAATCAGATGGTGTGCTGGATACAGATGGTGGTAGTAGTGTACCCGAATCAGGGCTGGTGGACTGGTCTACAAGCAGAAATCGTGATTTTTTTGGTACCACATTTGTCGCTGTACTTGAGTCCTCCTTCGAGGTTGGAAGTTCACTGGCATCAGAAGAAACGTTAAACGTAACACTTCTGACTTCCTGATTGGATGTTATCTCATCCAACTCTTGAAAATCCCATGTATCTCCTCCCTTGGTATAAGTTATTGGTTTTTGCTGAACTCCTACGTTTCAAAATGAGAATGTATTTATGAAATTAATAATAATTAATAATATAATCGGTTTAAATTATATGGCTGAAATATTATATATTAAAATTACTTTTATGTGGTCTTTCTTCCAATGGTGGCAAGTTCTGCAATATTTTTGTTACCAAATATTCCTTTTTTTTGGCTATTTTGAAAAATGGATGATTTAGTAATTTTTCAGCACTTAGCCTAAATAATTAAAAACGTTAGTAGATTCTGTTTAAAGATTACAACACTTAAAGAATCTTGTTAAAAATATATTAAAGTGTACTAACCGTTTCGTTGGTTCTTTCTGCAAGCTCTGATCAATCATCTCTTTGAAAGCTCTAGAATATTTATGTTTAGTGGCATCTCTATCCAAAGTCGGCGGATCATTTGAAAGAGTCACCATAATGACCTGTTACAAAAATGATATAAAAAATGATATAATATATAGATATAATATAAATTTTAAAACCACAAATACCTTGATTGGAGAGTATTTGGCAAATGGTGCATTTCCAGTTGCCAACTCGATCGAAGTTATCCCAAAAGACCAAATATCGGCTTTGTAGTCATAATCGGCATGTTTCATCACTTCCGGCGCCATCCAACAAGGCTAATTTAATTTATATAACAGCGTTTTTCTCAATTTAATGTCACCAATGTATTAAATTTATATAATACTATTTCCAACATACTGTGCCGACGAAAGTTCTCCGAAATCCCCTTCGATCGCCGTTCTCCGTAAGAGAGGATGACACACCAAAATCAGCAAGCGAAACAGTTCCGTCTTCATCTACAAGCAAATTCCCAGCTTTAACGTCTCTATTGGATTGATTATGAATATTTTAAGTTCTAAAAAATAATAATATGTTTAATTAATGACAGATAATTTACCTGTGAATATGACCAGCTTTATGTAGATAATCTAATCCTTGAAGTGCCTGCTTCAATATAGTAGCGATAACTGCTTCCTCAAAGCCATCGGGATATGAAGTCTTCATAATATCCGAGCAAGAACCTGATAATTAGGTGAATATCTTTCAACATGTTCACATGACGTCGATAACGGAAATCCGATATAATGAAATTGAATCATTTAAATAAGCGGACATACCAGCCGACATATATGGAGTTACGATATATAAAATAGACTCATTCACAAACGAGCCATAAACACGCAATACATTAGGATGTTTAGATAGCGACATCAACTGCGTTTCTCTCTAATTATAAAATGTTTACAAAAATAAGCGTCAAAAATATAACATTGGAAAACAAGACCGACCAAATTCATATATTATTTCGATACCCTCACTTCATCGATCTGATTTCGCTCAAAAAAATCCAAATTAATCATTTTGACTGCAACTTTTTTACTCAAAGGTTTATATATGGCACTATATACTCTGGCAGATGCACCATAACCTATACAATGTATTATTTATGTACAATTAACGTTTTCATCGTATTGCCTAAGCTTGCGGGTATTTTTTTTTGTAACATTTTGATAACTAAATACCTATGGGATTGTCTTTGTTTATGTCATAGTCTTCAACGTTACTTGACAAATTATCATCTGTAGAGCTGCCCATTAACGTTGATCCGGAGGAAAGACTCCTTTTTGGACCTTGTGATGCAGACTTTTCCATTATGTTGCAGTTTTCGAAGTTTACTTCGGATTCAAAGGTTATTTTTTTAGAACAAAATAGAAGGTACCGACAAAGAGCGGTAAAGCAAGTCTAAAAGTGTTCCACTTTTTCACTTTGTCGTTTTGTAAACCAGCTTGAAGAGCGCATATGAATATCCCTGCGTGTATTTTAATGTCAATAAATAGCATTCAGAGATTAAATGACGTACATAACCAGCCAGTATATAAATATTTTGATTTTTTATTATTAGAGATTATTTTGTTTGTTAGCGCCATTGCACATGAGTTATGTCATAGCTACACAATACAATGGCGCTACTAAACTATTTCCTTTTTAAAATACCCGCTTACAAAATGTTTCTTGTATCACAGAATTCTGGCAAAATTAGATTGGTCAAATTAATTTCAACTTGGGATTTAACGTTACGGTTAGGAAATTTATTTAACTCGAAGTAACACGGTCCACACTACCAAAACCGGTATCGGTCTTGAGAAGTTATCGTTATTTGAATTTGAGAGACTAGTACGTACGTTTTAAAGACATTTACCAAAAATCACTTTTCGTATATTAAGCTTTTGTTGAGCAATTTACTTGATATTTGATCTAATTCGGCTTGAACCAGTCTCTAACGCTGGTAATGTTGTGCCGATAAAGTTAATGCTACTTGTTCTGTGTATACGTACGTACGTACGTACGTATCGGTATCTCCAAAAGGGACCGCCAAACATGGAAATGACTGCACGTGATTGTTGACCAATCGTATCGTGAATTTCAGTAAGACATCGGCAAATAAGCCAATCAGATTACAGAAAAAAAGTTGTGGGATTCAAAGAATATGTTATAAGGCGAAATGATATATTTTTACGTTTTATAGAAAGTTAAGCCACTCGTGTTTACCGAAATGTATTGTGAAACGCATACAAAAAGTTATTTGTCAATGGTGTACCATATCGGAATCATTTCCACATTTGGACGGTTCCTCTTGAAGATTTTTA